ACGACTACAAAAATCAGATATCTGGTAAGAGGAGAAAGAGGAGCAGGAGGAGGAGGAGAAGAAGAAGAAGCAGACATCCTGGAGGCGATCCGGGCAGCCCACATGCCTGGCAAGCCTGTAAAATAATCAGGGATCACAATGTGCAATGATATAATAGACATGATCTCTCACACCAGAACAGCAACCACTCCAGATAGCATACCTCAACAGCAACAACAACAAAATAATTCAAAACTCCAAATACATATATCATAATCATAACGCATATTACAACGCTTTCCTTCTTGTACCCAGACACCTCCCAAATCAGAGACATTATTCATGTCATCATTTCAAAACAAACAAAACAAAACCAAAAACATAACCAAAAAAACCAACACCCAACATAATAACAAAACCTCCCCAAAATGACTGTTTCACAAAATTAAATCATTACGTAGCGCCAACTCAATTCGGAAAAGTTTGACACGAGCTGATTTCATCCACAGAGGTCACGACCCTCTGAAAGATGCAGGCACAGACAATACTGTCAGTCAGAGAGATTCAGAGATACATTTCCTCCGCAGCCAAATGCTCTTCCATCACACATTTCAAAGATGGTGACAGGAGGCAAGAACGTTCTTACTCTTAGACCTGAGAACTCGGTGCGCTGACCCAAATTAGGAACATTCACACACAAGACTTCATCAGTAAAAAGTCCCTCCTCCGCTCTCTCTCAACAATATATATCTAAGAGAGTTTTTAATCACATCATTTCAAACAATCACCTGCTCTTTTAACTTATTCTAAGTCTTGACTACTCTTGGCACCCACCTCTCATAAGATAAAGCTTTCAGTCGGTGTAGAGTGGGATAAGATCCCAAAATGAAAGTTGACGAGTGTGCTGATACACACAAGGCTAGAGCAACCCACCCACCCACAAACATACTCACTAGGATTTCCCTCCAGAAGCCACAGTCCTGAGAGGGGAAGCAAATATTTGACCACCGAAGATTCAACTGAATATAAATTGAGGCAAAAGCCAACATTTCAAGGGTTTTTTTTTTCTGCAACAATCGTGCCAAGATCAACATTTCACACCTTTTTCTCTGATAACCAAACCAAAACCAACATTTCAGATTTTCCTGTAACAAGACCAATATTTCACACTTTTCTTCTGATAACTTCACACTTTTCCTCTGATAATCATGCCAAAACAAATATTATTCATTTTCTATTTCTCTCATTTCTGTGACAAACCAAAACATTTCCCATTTTCCCTTGTAGTCTTTTTGAGTTGAGCTCAGACACAGCCAGCAGAAAAGCTCTACAAGTGAGAACTTTTTTCTTAAAATTTAAAGTTTTCAATAGAATTTTCATTTCATGAGATCAGGACAAATTCATTTAAATTTGTGACTTTTTTAGTTCACAACCACAGTTTGTTAAGTCTCGTAGCCAGAGCTGGGAAGCAAAATATTTTAAAAAGCAGGCACAAAATTGGTTCAAGATATCACTCTGATATAAAGTTCCTTAGTTTCAATTCGTCCTTCCGACATAAGATCCTTTGGTCTTCAGACATTCCGACATAAGGTCTCTTAGTCTCCAGACATCACTCTGACATTAGGTCCCTTAGTCCTCAGGCATAACCCCTGACATAAGGTCCCTAGTCTCGATACATCACTGTGACACAAATATTATAAATCACACAAGCTAGAGCCTCCAGCCAAACCCATAGAGCTCATCACAAACTGAAGGACGCAATAACAAAGTCAAAATCACAGCAGCACCTACTCGTGAAGGCAATAGAAGATACCCAGAGCTGCACCCACACAAAAGTAAGTGGCAAAGAAATGGAACAAAATCACGTGAAAGAATTAGGAGAATAAGTTACTATCAGTTCTTGGAGGAAGACCGTATGACACATTTTGAACACCCCTATCAATAAAAAGAACCCCCTCCCCCTCTACAAAAAAACCCCCCACTGTAAGGTTCTTCAAGAAGTGGTACATCTCTACATTTAGCATCAATCTTCTCTTTTCTGACACACATTTGCTTGATCCCCAAACATAGATTACCATCAGAGGCCATAAATTGTAAACTGGCACACCTCAAGCATTATGGTTGAACCTGCTCGAAAAGCAACCTGTCTAAGACAATCACCTGTACATACGAGCGCTTCCCCCTTAGCATTTTTTTCTTTATTGTAACGACACTGTCCAAGACATCTGTCTGCATGCTATCTAAGAAAACCACTTTTCTCCTCAACAATGGGCGGCTGTCTTGGACAATTTCAACGGTATTTTCAGAAAATGATGGATCGAAGCGTACCACTTCCTTATAGTTCAGAAAGTAAAAAAAAACCCATCAAAGACTATCATAACCCCCCCAACCTTATAGTAAATCAAATCTTCCATTGCCCATCAAAAAAAGGCAGTGACACCATCTCCGTCTTCTTTTTTCCCTTTTAAAGTCCTTTAGAATCTTTTACATAACTAAACAGCCCAATACATGGCCCACAATCAAACAGCGAGCTAGAACTATTCATCACTAACAGATGTACCAGAACCAACTTCACTCCAAATCTTTATAAGTCAAATTTCGGTAGACCTAAATCACCAGACCAGAAACTCAGGCATTTTGCAAAAACTTATCATCAAAACCCTCATATCATCAAGTCGAAGACCAAACTTTCATACATCAAACACCAACGTCTAAAAGCAAAATCATACATCAAATATTACCAGACAGTTTGAAATAAGTCGGAAATGTACATCACATCATCATTAACATAAGTAATTTAGCAGAGATAAGTATTTTCCCCCCTCGGCTCAGTTCTTAGCCAGTGTGACTACAAAACACCTTTTGCTGGCAGAACTAGCGTCTTACCATGAGCTTTCTTTCAAAACTGATCATTTACTACCACAGAGTGTAAAAACTGCAACAAAAGTGTACATGTTTTGTCCCCCACGAAGTAACATATTTCAGGAGAGAGAAAATACTTCTTTCATTCTTTTAAGAACTGCACTTACATTATGTACCTTTTCTTGTTTTGTTTTTTTCAACATTTAGATTTTGAATTTGGACAAAACATTTCTTGAGCACATGTAAAAGATATTACAGATTCAGAAACTGCAAGTAAAAAAAAAACTTCCAACATTTTTGGGATCTCTTTATCAAAACAGCCAAACCACAAACAGAATTTTCATTCAGAGCGACACGTCAAAGTAGTCAGCTTTTGACAACAGATTTCTACACGTTTCTAGGTATGGGACTTCCACTGACTGTTAAATCACCAGGCTCCTGCTTACAAAATAGTCAAGCAATGTTGGTGACCCTGCCATTCAGATGAGCGGTCACTGGAGCAGGTCTTGACCAATACATGACACCTCTTGCTCCAAAAAAGGCCCTGTAGAAGTGTGTTATTGTTCATATATATGTTGTTGTTGCGATACTGTGTATCGTGTGAGGTTGATAGAACCTCTCAGGGATGATACGTAAGCAAAATACTTGCAGTTGTTGTAGTCTAAATTATCCCATACGGATCAATAAACATGGTCCTCTATCTATTTACGACATCATAAACCCTTTTGTAAACCCTTAATCAACCCAATGATAACAATAGCAACAACGGATAAAACAAAGAAAGGACTTCCAAGTCCAGCCATCTCCAGATTTCTCAGCACAGCTATAAATAGTACCACCCAGCAGCAGCAGCGGCAGCGGCAGCAGCAGCATTCAAGCACACACCCTCATTAACGTATAGCATCCACACACTGATGATGGCGGAGGAGAGGAAAACAGAAGCAAATCTTGTACATATGGAGAAGCAGCATGAGGGGGAGGTATAGGACATGATAGGGGGGGGGGGTATGAGGGAAGGGGTGGGGACTGACCTTTTGACCCCTCGTGTCAGGGGCTACTATTATGCCCTGACCACATGGCACAACCCAAGACCTGGGCCCCGACTGCCACACGCAATGAGCTCTTTCCCTGAGTGCAGAGGTCACTTCAGAGGTCATCATTCCAGAGGTCACACCAAATGACCCTGGAGGTCACTTCAATGATCACTCTACTATATACACTTGCAGATAGAGACGTTAGACCAACCAAGAAAACCCTTTTAAAAAAATGCTAGTATTTAAAACAAAAAATTGAAATACACCAAAAAAAAAAAAAGAAAAAAGAAAAATGGAACAACATTCAACTTTTCTCTGTTCTATTCAAATTTTTTTTAAAATTAGAAAAGAAATCACATACAGGGCATTTCGCTGACATCTTTCTTAGGGAAAAGTGTTATGCCTGAAGTTACACTAGTTCAGTGCAAACCCAGTCAGGTCCTCATCACCCCCTCGTACAACACTCCTTTATTCAGGAAAAATTTGAAGGAAAAAAAAAAAAAAAAAAACCCAACCCAAAAAAACCCCCCTTCCATAATTCACCTGTGCTCCTACTCTTACGTGACAGCCGGGCCAGAGCCTCACCGCAGTCTCAGGGTTCCCACGTACAAGGAAAAAAACCCCAACAACATAACATCCAAGAGTACACGTATTCTGTACAGTCAATGAAATATTCAACGTTCTAGACAAGCCAAAGAAAAAACAACCATCGAGAGGCTACAATAAGTTAGCATACACTTGTGCTGGAGTCTAATGTACAGTTTTAAAAAACGAGAAAAATGAATCACATGAAGGAGAGAGAGAGAGAGAGAGAGAGAGAGAGAGAGAGAGACAGAGAGAGAGAGAGACAGAGAGAGAGAGAGGGAGAGACAGAGAGAGAGAGAGAGAGACAGAGAGAGAGAGAGACAGAGAGAGAGAGAGAGAGATACTCTTTGTGACAGGTTATGAGTGCTATGGAAAACAAGAATCATGTCCATGTAGTAATAATAAGTCTATCTCTCAGAATGTCCATGTAATAATAATAAGTCTTTCTCTCAGAATACAAAATCCTTTCCAAGATCAGATTACGACTCTGTCTACAAGCACTGCTTGTACCAGGAGCACACAGATTCTATATTTTTTTTCTCACCGCTGAGAAGCAGTTTCTGAAATTGGCATCTTTATCATGTACAACACAAAAAAAGCAACATCAGCTTTTTTTTGGTTTGTTCTCGTTATCCCTCTTCTCATTGCCGTCCAACAATATATTCAAAGTTCACACATCTCATCATAGAATAGCTACCACATTGTAAAGCTCATCTCAGAACAGCTCAACTGTCTGTCTAGTCCAAGTAACCACACTACCATTCTCACGAGAATGTGCCAACAACTTCTTCCTTGTAATAGAATTCTCCTTCACTGCCAGGTTCGGGTTTCTTTACACATACCGTACTGTAACCATATACAGCTTCTGGTATTCACACTTTCCATTTCCTCTTGAATCGCTCTTTATGCTTTAAAATAGCAACATTACCGCTTTCATCATAATCATTTCAGGACTGAAAATTGTAACCCCATCAAAAGATATCAGGCCCATCATACCACTATGAGATATCGATTCCATTTACCATGCAGTGACAGTTTCGTAAGACTCATTGAGACGAAGAAATGGTCACAGAAACCTTCCAGCATAAAGCTCCCATACATCAGCTCCAATACTTTACATCCGTCTTTAAGTTGGACATTTTTCTTTCAGGGTAAAAATTGAAAACTACAAGAAAAGAAGAAAAAAACAACAACCCCATGATGATACACGAGAGAAGATAAGACGTGAAAACTTGTTCAAGGAGCATAAACAACAAGCCAGTGGTGGACTATTCACAGGGGGGAAAAACCGGACATTGAAAACAAGCAAGTTCAAGATCTTAAGTATCGTCGACGAAAATATTCATGATATCAAAGTGAACGAGGAAGGAAGTAGGGTGCTGTGAGCTATTTATAGTGGATGACATCACTTCCTCTTCAAGCTGCTGGCGGCCGTCGAGCGCATGTAGGAGCCCGAGGACGAGTTGCCTCCCCCTGCCACCAAGTTGCCCACGGAGCCGCTCAGTCCCGGCATGCTCCGGCGGTTCAGCGGGTTGGCTCCCTTGCGAGAGTTCTTCCTCTTCTTGTCCCAGACCAGCTTGTCGGGGCGCACGAAGACGCCGTGTCGCGGCCGGCACTGGAAGTAGCGGATGCCTTTGACGGCCCCATCGTTCTTCCCTGGGGACGAGACCCGATGGAAAACCGTGTCATATTGGAAAAGATTTACACCACAACTTCAAGCTACAAATACAATATGTGAAGCGTGCTGACAAAATAAGTTACTTCTCGGATTCAGGCCTTAAGGAAATAGATACATCACACTTATAGGTGAAGTTTTTACAATTTATAAGAATGAAATTAAAGGTATGTATAGTTAAAGAATATGGCATCAATAGAAAATCTACTAATTTGACCCTAGTGTCAATTTTTGGCCAATATTTCCATTTATGGACTGCGAGAAGTAACCCATTTTGTCAGCACGACTCACATATATATATATATATGGTCGCTTTTAAGCACAAGGGGGCTGTTTGTTTTAGTAGAGGTTTTACGGCGCTCACAACTGCATAAGGTCATATGAGTGCCAGAAGATTAGAGGTGTTACAAGAGAGTAACAAACATAAAAAAGAAGAAGGGGAGATAAGGACGATAGATGTTTGATAGGAAAGAGGAAGCAAACCACACCAGAGCACCCGCCAGCCACCCACACACAAGGGGGCTACCCCGAAAAATGCTGTTTTGAGAAAACGGAAGGTAAAGTTTTTGCCTCTTGTTCAGTTTGTTTAAAAGGCAAGGAGAGTTTTCTCTATAACCAAACAAATATACACATCAATGAAACCAAACTTCTCCTATAGGTAGAGCAATGCCCACTGTTGGTGTAGGTCAAGATTTCTGGAAACCCCCAAAATCTGGGTCAGCCCGCTCATCCTTAAAAGCGACCATATATAGCTCAACTTTTGCTTGAACAGAAGAAAACCAGAACTTCCCCTAAAATGTCCGTTATGTGGATTTATCTCCTGAAAATTCGTGCAACATTCATTCATCTCATAGACATTCATTCAAAGAAATACCCTCTTTATTTCTTTCCCAGATATTCATTCCTCACCCAAACATCCATTCATCTCTCAGACATTCACTCGTCACTCATTCTCCTCAGTAATCACTCTCCTCCACAGACATTCATTCCTCACTCCCTCTCCTCCCAGACATTATAACCCCCTCCTTCCAAACATTCATTTATCTCACAGATATTCATTCCCCACTCACTCTCCTCCCAAAAACTCCTCCTCACTCACTCTCCTCCACAGACATTCATTCCTCACTCCCTCCTCCACAGACATTCATTCCTCACTCCCTCCTCCACAGACATTCATTCCTCACTCCCTCCTCCACAGACATTCATTACTTCCTCACTCCCTCTCCTCCCAGACATCATCACCCTCCTCCCAAACATCCATTCATCTCACAGATATTCATTTCTCACTCACTCTCCTCCCAAAAACTCCTCCTCACTCCCATTCCTCCCAGATATCATCAACCCTCCTCTACAGACATCACTCCTCACTCTCTCTCTCTCCTCCCACACACCATTACCCCTCCTCCCAAAAACTCCTCCTCCTTACCCTCCGGCTGGTCCAGCTCCACACCGACCCAGACCCCGTGGGCAAACTGCACAGAGCCCACAAACCGCACCGTGCCCGTCTTGGGGAACCCGCGGGAGGAGGTTACGGTCACGCTCTCTCCGTCCTGGATCCAGGACGGGACGGGACCCTCGTGCAGGCGGTCAAGGTCGGCTCGGCTGCCGAAGGAACACTCACTGAGGGCGTCCTCGTTGTCTGCCGGGGGAGCAATTAGAATAGGAATTATAACAATAATAACGATAATAATTTCATTGCATATTAGTTATGATAAGAAAAAAAAGAAGCAAATAATAATATACTAAGAGTAATAATAAAAAAAATTAATACAGTAAAACACAGATAGCTCGAATTCGTCGGGACAGGCCTCAGTAGTTTGAGGGATCCGTACTTCCAGGGTTATCTTAAAAAGATTGTTGTTAGCGATCCAGATCTTACAAAGAAAAAGAAGAAAAAAAACCCCAGGACTGCAGGAGGCGCAGTTTGACGGATGCGTGATTTCAAGTTTTCTGTGATCGACATATCTGTGTTATACTGTAGTAAGAAAATTCATACAAATGATAATAGAAAAACCAAGAACAATAATTATATAACAAGAACAAAAATAATGATAGAAAGACAAAAACAAAAATCATGGTGGCACCTACGAGTTTAACATTCATCTCCACGAAGGACCGAGCCAAATGGGGACTTCGTGTAAAGTGCCTTTCTCAAGGACACAACGTCAAACCGAGCTGAGACTTGCACTCCTGAACCCGCAATCTCAGGATTATGAGTCCAGTAGCCTTACCACTATGCTAACAACATAAAAGTAATTATAATAATAATAACAGCAACAATAACATAAACAGTACTGTAAAAGTGTATGATAGCATGTACGTGTGTCTGTAGGTATTGGTGTGTCTATATTATATGTGTGCTGGTATATAATGTATGTATACATGTGCAAGTAAATATGCATGGGTTTGTACATGTATGTGTGTGTATGTCTATGTCTGTATAAGTGCGTATAAGAATGTATGTATGAACGTACATATGTTTGAAGGTGCTTGTACCTTTGTGTGTGTGTTCATGTACATGGGTACACATGCATATGTATACATAATGTGTGAAAGTATATGTGTGCTGGTATGTGTGTGCTTCTATGTGTATATCTCTACATAAAGATACTCAATGACCATAACATTTTAAAAAATCAAACTTCAGTGACACAAGTAATACAGGGACGCTGAACTGCTGAATTAATAATTTATTCTAAGCATTCTTTTTTTGTTAGAAAAAGGTCAGCTCTAAGCAAAAAAACAACAACCAAAAACAATGAAAAATAACAAAAGAATGGGTCCATAACTGCAAAGAGTGTTCTTCTTCAGCAGGCTATTATACCAGCGTTACAACAAGTGTCAATGCAGTTTGTTTTTTTAACCCTATCCGTACGTCATGTTTTACTATCTTACCTATACGACGTGGGGACCACTGTGCCACTACTTTCAAAAGAGGAAATTTACTTGTTAATCCAATCCGTACGCTTTGCATTGCAGTCTGTCAAAATGACTTTTTGAAAAATACTGAAAATTTCAAAGAGGTCTTCGCACTAGACGTATTCTAAAATGTGAAGAATACAACCCCGGGGGGTACAAAATGACCCCAGGGCGTACGGATAGGGTTAACGGAACCGTCATGTATCTACTCACAAGTCGAGTGCTCGTCTAGACACATCCCGTCCCCGCACGGGCTCATCTCCTCCTGCCAGGCCAAGGTCAAGGACTCTGTCTCCGGGGAGACCACCATGGACATGGGGCGGGGCTTGACCCACGACCCCCGCCGCTTGTTGGGGGTCAGCGAGGACTTCTTGCCCTTGTTGCCTGGCGGCGGCGTCATCATCGTAGTCTTGGCGTGCTGATGATGGTCCCCCGAGGGGTGGCTTCTCTCCCCTCCTCCTTGCTTCTGCGCCGTCGTCGCACCGTGCGTCATCGGGGTAGGGGACGGCGAGCTTTTGATGACAACGTGTGTCTGTTTGTTTGCACTTTTGTTGTTTTCCGGAGTATTTATTATGGGTAGGGGGGCTGTGTTTGCAGTTGTGGCGGCCGTCGGTTTTCCTGCCTCGCCATCACTGCCAGAGGAGGAGGACGAAGCGTTTGAGGTGGCGGTCGGACCAACTGCCTCCTCGCTGTCTTCCTCTTCCTCCGCGACGTTTCCTCCCTCACCCAACTTTTCCAACTCCTCCATCGCGTTGACGCTGTAGAGGTCGTTCTCACCCTCCGTCACTACTCCTCCCTCTTCCTCCTCTTCTTCCTCCTCCTCTTCTGTCACTCCTTTATCCCCCTCCTCCACAATCAGCAGATCTGTATCCCCAACGGCAGCGACAGCAACTTTCTTCTCGCATTCCTTCTCCTCTTCGGCTCTCCTTCCTTCCTCAGTACTGTCGTTCACAGTGGCTTCGGAAGTCGAAACGTCAGGAGAGTTGAGAGGGGAGGAGGCGGAGTCTTGCTTCAGGGTGTAGTCTGAGCTGTCTGCCTCGGCCTGCACACTGTCCATGTCCTCATCCAGGGGCAAGTCGCTGAAAAAACACAACATACATTTGTGTCACGACACGGTGGAATCACATGCTTGTCAATTTTTGGGCATGTGGAGTTTTTGGTACCAGATGAAAAATGATTTATTTGCCTTGCTTCCAATGAAATAGATATCCATTTATCTTTAAAAGAATTCAAGATATTTGTGATTGAAGGAAGTGAGGTGGCCTGGTTTCAGTGGTGAAACTAGCGAGAAAATGGCTGCTAAAATTTGTCAACTCCAATAGTTGAAAAAGTCTTTGAAAACTGAAAAAATGACATATTTTTCTGATGCATCATGGTGAAGTCAGGCGCTTATCACAGCTCTATTAAAAAATAAAAATCTCTACATCATGTAACTTTTCTTGCATTTTTCAACATTCAGAATTTGAATTTCGACAAAATATTTAACAGGCACAAGCATCCAGTACCATAGATCCATCGACAGTGAAAGATCTTGTCAGTTTGTTAGTGTCTGGGTGTTTAATCAGCTGCTTGCACTGTAAGCTCACCAAGAAGCTGAGAAAGTATCTGAGTGTCTGCTGGGGTGATAATATATAGTGTAAAGCGCATAGAGCTTGCTGTAGAGCAGGGTTATTCGCTATACAAATGATATCTATTATTATTAGATTAAAAAACTACCATGAAACAAATATGTCAAAATTTCAGTCTTAGCACAACTGAACAGCTAGCCGATGAGGTATTATAACAGAGATTACTGTGCTGTTTTTGGTCTTTGAAAAACACTTGCTATTTCTCTTTCAAAAGTTTGGTGTGTTCCGTGCGCTCATATGACCGTATGCAGTTGCGAGCTCCATAAAACACTTATCAAAAAAAAAAAAAAAAAAAAAAAAAAAGAGACAACTGTCCTGTTATTGGTCCTTGAACAACACTTGCATTTCCTCTTGCAACAACAGTAAAAAAAAAAAAAAACTCAAAAAAAACCCCCAAACCCCCAAAAAACTTCCCCAAAACTCACCCAGACTTGTCTCCGTCCATCTCGTCGCTGTCCATGGTGTTCTCGGCGCTGTGCAGCTTCCTGCGCGGCTGTTGCTGCTGCGTGCCACCAGCGGAGGGCTCCATGTTCTCTTCCATGCTCTTGATGCTGGCCGAGTCCTCCGAGGACAGAGTGAGAGTGGACACTGCCTGGGAGCCGTAGCCGCTGGACGTCATGCTCGCTGTGTAGCCTGGTGGGGGGAGGTGTGGGGGGTGGAGGAGTTTGAATTTGAGCATGACCTTTTCTTTTCATTTCTTTCTTAGAAGTTCAAACAGGAATCAGACTTACTCTGCTCACCTCTCTA